CCGCCATTGGTTCGCCGCCTCAAGCCCCGCCCCGAGCCGCCATTCGTCTTCCTACCGGAGGCCCCGCCTCAGAACCACCATTGGCCCACCGCCGGAATCCCCGCCCCCTGAACAATATACGTTCTTGCCGTAGCCCCGCCACCGCTCTGCCATTCGCTAGCCCGACACAGGCCCGGTCCCGTAGCCACCATTCTTCTCTGATCCCGCCCCCTTCTTGCCATTGGCTGCTATGCAAAGCCCCACCCACCCCGGTCCGGAGTCGCCGGACCAGAGACGGAGTTGGGGGATCCTCGTTCCCGGCGCCCCACTCCTCTCGCCCGGCTGCGGTCACTTCACTTGCACCTGGAGTCGCAGACTGGAGCCCTGGCTCCGCACTGAGCTTTGCACCATCTGCCTTGTTCGCGCACTAGTTCGCCCGCCGCCTGTTTATTGAGCTGGGCCTGGAAGGGTGGGCGGGCCTCGACCCTGTTCCCGCCCGCAGCTCCCGGGTTCCCCCGGGCGCGCGACTTCCGCTCCGGAGGGCCCAAGGCTTCCTGTAAAATAGGACGATCTGCATTCCGAGCCTGGCTCGTCACCTCCTAGCTGTGTGATCTCCGGCAAGCGACAGCCACGCTGTGCCTTCATTTCCTCGTCTGTAAAAGGGGCCATAGGGAAAGGGGGCGTCGAGTGCTCAGAACAGGCAGGTATAGGAGCCACGGAAGTGTCACCCAGAGTGAGTACGGAAGGGGACGGGCGAAGAGCACAACGCCCAGCTGGCACTCCCTTGGGGACTTTCATCTTTGTCAAGACTGAAGAGCCCACTCCTGCTTCAGTGTGCGGGACTGTAGTGGCTTCGTGTGGCTGGAAGCTGTGGCGCTGGTAGTTCAGGTACCAGCAGGGTCATGGTGGACAGGCTTCAGCAGGACTTCCAGATTATGGCAGACCAGGCGGGAAGGCCTGACGGTCTCCTGAGAATCAGCCGGTGAGAGCCCCGTGGACTGCAGTGGAGTGCGGAAGGTGAGCCCCTGGGCTGACAGTCACTCCGAATGCACAGTGGCCACTCACATGGATGCAGGCACCCACCGATGGGGACAATGGCGCAGCACGGGGCCGTGTTTTGTTCCGTGGTGCTCCCATGAGTCGGAACCAACTAGAGAAAGACAGTGCCCCATCCTGGTATCCTGTTACGGCCCCGCTCCCTGAATCAGGCTGGGAATTCCAGGCCGAGTGTGGAGGAGAAACAGAGGCCCACAGTGGGTGCCTGTCCACGTGTGACCCTCTTGCCTACCCCAGAGGCTGTGGGTGGGTTCTCTGGGGCCTGTGTTCTGAGGTCCGGTTTCCACACTTCGCTTTGCTGTCTGCTGTGCTCTGGTCCAGCCGGTTCTTCCAGCAGATGGACCCCTCCGGGCGGGCTTTTGGCTGGGCAAGGTCTGCTCTGAGAGCCCAGTCCGTCTGCTCTTCTAACGGTCCTGACTTGCCTGCTCGCTGTGATAAAGCTGAGGGCCTCAGTCAGCCTCCTGCAAAGGCAGGTGAGCTGGGGCAAGTCAGGTAAAAGGCTTTTGCAAAGCTAGCTAAGTCACAGCCACTGCATGGTGTAAGCCATGGCCCAGGGAGGTCATACCTTCCGTCCTTAAAGGCTGGAAAGACTAGAGCCCTGGGGAGGTTCTGAGTCTGGCTCTCTGTCCTCTGGAGCCAAGAGTGTTGGCAGGTCTGGGCAGCACTTGGCTTTGTCCAGGGGCAGCTGGACCTGCCCAGGTCAGTCCTCCCCATTAGCAGCTGGTGACTACTTGCTGTGAACAGGTGGGCTGTGCAGAATGCCCGCTCCCTCAACACCTACCTTGTTCTTAGCTGTGCAGTGAGTTGTCACCTTAGCTCTGTTCCTTCCCAGGCAGATGCTGACCGTGGGGTGACCACCAGCATCACCTCAGTGGTAGATCATGCACTGAGAGTGCCCTCATGGGTGAGAACAGTTTCTGGTCTGTTAGTAACTACAGGTCAAATGGCCACAGATGGACCCCAGCTTCAGCAAGCATACAACAGATGGGTGTCCGTGAGCTTCCTCCTGTGTTTCCGGAAGCCTCGCAGAATCGTGGATGACAGCCAGACCCAAACAATGTGTGCACTGAGGGCCTGGGCCCCTCAGAGCTTCCCACTGGTTGGTGAGAGATGGAAAGGGAGCTACTTGGGGATTAGGGCTACTGGGGGTTCAGTAGGTAGCATCTTTCCCAAGGGCATGGTCCTAGTTTCCTAGTGCTGCTATTAAACACCCCACGAGTGAGTGAGTGGCTTTAAAGGGCAGGAATTTATTAAAATTCAGGGTGCAGGCAGGACGAGGGGCTGTGTGGGGCAAAGTCCTTGTCTCTTGGCGTTCCTTGCCTGCTTGCAGATGTTCACATGATGTCTGTCTTCCCCCCTGTAAGTATCTCAAGGAGTCCTGGTGATACGGTGGTGAAAGCATTGGGCTGCTAACCAGGTCAGTGCTTGGAACCCACTAGCCACTCTGCAGAAGGACCATGAAGCAGTCTGCTTCCATAGAGATTGACAGCCTTGGAGACCCTGTGGTGCAGTTCCTCTGTCCTCTAGGGGCGCTGTGGGTTGGAATGGACTCCACGGCAGTGGGTTTGTTTTTTCAATTTTGTGAGTACCTCTGCGTCTACTCAGCTCTTTCTGTAACTCAGAAGGGATTAGGGTTAGGACTTCCCTGAGTCTGGTTTGACCTCATTAATATAACAAAAAAGAACCCCCATTTCCACAGGGGCACAGCCACAGGACCCACAGCGCCCCTAGAGGACAGAGTGGAACTGCCCACAGGGTCTCCAAGGCCATGACCTGTTGGAAGCAGATTGCTAAGCTTCCCTTCTGAGGTGCCTGCCAGCCCTTCTGCTGGTACCCGGGTGCTTAACTGCCGTGCCACCCAGGGACTCGTTTGGTCATAGGGTCCTTGACTGTGTTACCCGTCTGGCTCACATGAGGTCACGCTGCAGCGGGGTGGGTCCTGATCCTGTCTGAGTGGTGTCCTTGTAAAAAGAAACGAGCTGCAGAAAGGCAGGAAGACGCCGCATGAAGACAGAGGAGGTGGGGGTGATGCAGGTATAGGCCCGGGGTCATGGGCGCCCCAGCACCCCGCAAGGCAGGAGGGTCCTCCCCAGAGCCTTCGGAAGGAGCGCCTCCCTGCCGGCCCCTGCGTTCCGGACTTCCGGCCTCTGAGCTGTGTGACAGCATCTCTGGCTTTAAGCCTCCAGTGGATGGCACTGTCCCAGTGGCCTCAGAAAGCAGTGTGCACCGAGGACAGGACTGGAAGCAAGGGCCCCCCAACTTCTCAGCAGCCTGGCAACTCCTGCCTGGCACTCACCGTGGGAGCTGGACTTGCTCTGTGACTGAGGCCGGAAGGTGGACACTAGCCCCACTTACAGACGGAGTAACTGAGGTGCAGAGCCACACCCCGCATGAGGAGGTGAGGACCCCTGCAGGCCAAGGGGCAGGTGAGCCTCAGCTGTGCCAGCTGCAGGTGTGAGGGTCAGCCCCTGTGGCCTGGAGAGGGCTGTAAGGCTCCGGGACAAGGTCCCAGGAAACACCTTCAGTCAGTCGGGGGTGGGGGGGGGGAGTATGCCTGGTTTGCTGGGTTGAGGGGAGACTGTGGCCAGTGGGGAACCCACTGGTCCTGCCCAGCCAAGATGGTAGCCCTAGGCAGCCATAAGGTATGGGGAAACCCCTCCTCTCAATCCTGGGGACCAGGGAGCTCAAAAACTCCTGGAAGGTCCCAGAGAGTTCGGAGCCATCAGCACAGTCAGATCCGTGGCAGCTTTCATGGAATGGGTCCCTGAGCCCACACATCTATGACTTCCCCCACCCCCACCCACGTTAGGCATACCCTCAAGTTCAACAGCGATTTCAAGGCCTCGAAATGCAAACGCTCACTGCCCTCCACACATTCAAGTGGCAGAGAAGTGGGCCTCCGTGTCCCTTGTTTAACAGGGAACCAGAGATAGTCCCTACCTCCCTGATGGCTGTGCCACTGGGACACGGCGCCTGCCATCCCTTATTTAACACAGGGCTGTGTCACTGGGACACGGTGCTTGGCATCCCTTATTTAACAGGGGACCAGAAATAGTCTGTACCTCCCTGATGGCTGTGTCACTGGGACACGGTGCCTAGCATCCCTGCTCCAGGTGTAGGCAATGGTCTTCTCTGGAGTCGAAGCTCAGCCCTTGGCTGTTGTTGATTGGCTATGCTCTGCAATCCCCGCTGGCACAGATGGTTAGTGAGCTGAGCTGCTGACTCCGAGGTTGGAGGTTCACGTCCATGTAGAGGCGTGTTGGAAGAAAGGCCTGAAAACTTGGTCCCACCCGGACACCCGTGGGGCGCTGTGAGCCAACACCTGTATCCTACACTCCGAGGCACAGGCCTCTTGGAGCCTTAGAGTTTTTTCAGGGGTGAAATGGGGTGGGGTCCTCTCCGATGTGAGGCAGGTAAGAGAGGCAGGGTCCTGGGCGGGATCCCCTCCCTCTAACCCTGTGCCTGCTTGCCTTCCCTCCCATCCCCCCTTCCACCCCTGAGGGAAGTAGGGCCTGTGAAACGCAGCGGTGAGAGGGTTTCCAGGAGAGCGTGCCAAGGGCTGAGACGCTGGGAGCATTTGGCGGAAGCATTGGAACCGGCAGGGGAGGGGCAGGCCAGGAGCTCCCGGGGTCTGTCTCCTGGCTGGAGGCCCCTGAATGGCTGTCCCGGACCTGTGGCCACGTGGCCAGGAGTGGCCTGGCCTCCAGACCCTGGGGCTGGAGC